GGCATTTACCTACTCTGGGTGCACAATATAAGCATTTTCTCACTTCTCTTATCTGTCATGTGGGTGACACTCACCTTTCTTACAACAGTATGAAAAAGGGTGTGGAGAGGTGCACAGGGAAAATTTCTACTCATCCTTGAATGTGTTCAGGGAGCTCACAAGCAGCTTGACCCCCCAAATGAAAGGCTGGTGGGCAAGGCTTGAGACCACTGGAGGAGCCTGTGCCTGTTCTACTGCAGCTCTGTGCAGCTCCTTATGATGAACTCTGTGCAGTTCCCTTTCTCTTCCCCAAAGGGAGTCGTTGCCACTGAAACGTGAAGCAGGGGTTGTATGTACTGAGTGTCAGGACAGAGCCATCATTCCAAGGATATTTTTAATAGCAAGGTTTGAAAATCCCCCTCACATAATGTTTTGCATACTGCAGGATTACCTTTTAGTTGCTGTTGGCAGCCTCATGTGGTTTGGAGATGCTGTGCTCCCAGGCTGCTCCAGGCAGACTGGCTATCAGAAAACTCACAAGTCTTTGTCAGCTCAGGGCCAGAAATGGAATCCAATTGTTTTGCAGTTGTGTACTGCTGAGTGCAAATTGCAGGATTTCTTGCATTCCCCATTTGTGCCTCCTGTAATTTCAAGTGTAGCTGCTTCTTGGACTGTCGCAGTTCCAATCTGTCTGCTGCATCCTCAGGATATTTTCTTATTTGGGGGAGTTTGTGTGGTTTGTTACCTTCAGACCTGGACCCAGTTGCAGTACATGGAATTTTAGCTGGAGCAGCAAGTGCAGAGGGTGGTATGGATTGGATCTCCTCTGGTAAGGGTCTCTCTTTAGGGAGGAAGCAGACTTCCATATCAGGGAGGGAAAAGCTCCTTACCTTCATCAGGGCACATGAAAGTTTGAATTTGGCCAGTATCTTTTTAGTAGCTTAGCTGATACCTCTGGCAAAACCTGAGAGAAAAATGAAGAGAGCTCCACACATTAGGGACCACCTGGTCACAGCCAGCCACAGAGAGGGGCAGTCATCATTTGTGTTTGCTGCAATGCCAAGCACACTCTGGACAAAGTGGTACCCTGGGAGGGAATGGCTGAATGAAAGATGAAGAACAGTGTTATGAGGAACTTGTGTGAGGCTGTGGGCTGGAGCTCTGCAGCCAAGCTGTAGCTGAATCCTTACAATTCTCATCTAGCTCTCTAATTGCCAGTGTAATCTGATCAAAGGCCATATGGTGATGAAGGCATCCTTGATGTACCATGTACCTTTAAAGTGCCATGTACTTTCTCAGCCTATTTTTTGTATTAATGTGGTATTTCTTCAAACTGGTCACATACCTTTATTTGGCAAGCAAATTACTCTGAAAAAACCTGGCAGAGCAGTTCACTGTGAATTTCACAGTAAGTGTGCCAGGGCTGTTTGCTAATGCACAGATGAGCTGCCAGAATGCCGAGGTCTCCCAGCCTCCCCCACAAAACTGTGATGTACCTTGTGAGCAATCAAACACCACTCAGTTCTAAGAGGCAACCTTCAGTAACAGAGCTCACCCAACTGTAATGTCTTTAAAATCAAGATAGAACCAGTGGCATATGACAGAAGAGTGACTGAATTGCTCACAGTTTAATGACCTCTCTAATGAAACAGGGGTCTATGTAAATTCACATGCACCATAGAGTTGTGGACTTTATTATTACTGAGCAGTTCCAGTGGCTTCAAACCTTGTGTATTCACAAATGGCTAAAGAAGTCCCCTAGACTATTAGCAAGAATCATGCACATTTCAGAGAGGACACTCAGCACTGGGACATGGAAACTCTGAAGAGCTTCAACAACTTTGGTCCTCCAACTGATCCAGGAAACTGAGGTAAAATAACAACATTCTTTGAGCCAACTCAGAACTTCAGAGAGATGGAAGTCAAAAGTGTCTCTCTTGGACACGCCTCTGAATCCTCTTAATCAAATTTCTTGCAGTTTTTGTCCTAATTTAAAACATAACTGGCACTGCTCACTGTTTATTTGTGTTTAGTTCTCTACTCATATTGTACTGGATGTCAGGATGCTCTTTGCTGGGGATTCTGGTGGTGTCATCACCAGCTGAGGTGGCACACATTGCATGAGGAGCTCTTGCTTTTGTGCTAGACTTGAACCCAGGGGCATGAGACTTAAAGTCAGTTTTCATTGGAAGGCTTTTTTTTTTCCTCTTCTTTGCAGTTCAAGATGCTGGTACTGAGCAGGAGTATATGTATGCCACAGTAGTCCTGCTTCACATGTAAGGAATTCTGTCTTGAACCATTCTGATAGAGGAAAAAGTCTGCTGAGTCCACTTCTGTAATTTCTTCCTGAAATTCCTTGAGATAGTCAATCTCAAATTTTAGCACTGGTGTTGCATACAAATGCAGTAAAATCATTCTCTGAGTACACACTATACTTTGTCTTTACAGATGTTTAGCAAACTCAAAATGAATATATCAAGAGTATTCGGGATAAGAGTCTGAAATAAGAACGTGGGCTACTGTAATGCACAGCAAGTTAAAATCTGGGAGAAAAGTGTGACAGAGGACTATTCCTGGCCTGAAGAGAAGGTAAAAATTCAAGTATTAAGTTAAAAAGGTCACTGGGAAAGTGCTGTAGTAACTCTTAGTCAGAGGAAAGCAGGATTTGGCTGTGTCACAGAGAGAAGCATCCTTATCCTGTATGCCAGATGGATCATGGCTTCCTTGCTCAAACACTGAGTAAAGGTTTGGAAGAGATCACACAAGGAGAATTGGTAAGAGCAGAGCCACTAGAATGTGATATGATTCATTTTGGACTTGCAATCCTGAAAACTTACACGGGGCTGGTTTCTGAAATCTAGAGGTGGTTCAGTCTGTACTGTTGAAAACTTGTCTTTGATGGTCTTTGGTCTGTTGGTATTTTAAACAAATGGAGCATTACAGACATTCCAAATGCATTTCCTCATGTATTGCTAGGTCTGCTTGATGCAGTAGGTGGGGTCTGAGAAAGGAATCTCCTCAAGCTTTGAAAGTTAATGCAGTGATCTTTCAAATCATTCCTGAAACTCACCACTAAAATGTTTTGCATTTCTTTCTAAAGTTGCAGGTTTACACCAATGCATTGTTCAACTTGTTTTTTGTAAAATGACGTGGAAAATCTGAAGTCATAAAGCACTGTGTGACTACAGGATGTCAGGATAAAACAGCAGATAAGAAAGTGTTTTAAACACGAGGAAAACTTTGCTAATTTTCTGTTTGAGAGATAGATCTATATAAAAAAAATTGCATAGTATTTAATTGGACCTCACTTGGTAATTAATAATTCTTTATGTGTAACATTCACAATTAAAATTTTAAAGATAGCTATAGTTTCTTGTTTCAAATTTATAAAAGCAGATTGAACATTTTTCAGGCTGAGTGACACAATGCATTGCTAAAATCAAGAGACTTTGGATCAAGCTTTCTTTCTGATAAATTCTGTGCTTCATTTGTAAGGAGAAATAACTTCCAATGGGGTGCATGGAGAGACCCCTGGTACATGGGTTGGAGGCAGCTGCTACTGTGGCAGCTTTTCTCCACCAGAACAGAGCAGGATGATGAAGGCTGCTGTAATAAATGTTCTTCTGTTCAGGGTGTCATCTTATGACTACCTGAGTCCTACAAGGGCAGTTATTGTTATCTCTGACTATTGTAAAAGCAATGTTGACCTCCAAGTCTCAGGTAATTTATTGAAGGAAACCTAGGGAAGCTTTTCTTCAGAAGGAATTGGCTTCACTAAAATCACTCACTAGTGATTTAATGACATGGCTCTGATGAGAGATGAGGGCACTGGACAGAATGAAATCTAGAACCAGAAATCTTGTCTTGGTCCCTTCCATTCTGCGGATTTTGATGTCAGCAAAATTCATAAATGCACACTGCCACTGGTCCCAGTCCATGTCATTTATAAAGAATCTTATTTTCAATCTGTTTGGGGAAAAGAGTTCACATGTCTTTTAAGAACATTCCGTTTTAAACTGGCAAGAGGTTAAACATTTGATAATTTTTTTCATGTTAATTTAGTGTAATTTCTTCTGCTTGCTTAAGTATCTAAGCAGGAATTTCTATTACCTATTTACTAAATCTAAAACTATATAATCTACTTCATAGGAGGACCTCAGGCCATATTTTCATCCCTTTCTTGAGGCTCATATGGAAAGGCAGTCCTGGGTGAGGGGTATGGCTGGAGAGAGCTGCCTGAAAAGCACCTGGAGAACAAGAACTGGAGAAGGATCCTCACAATAGAACCTCTGAGTGACCCCACCTTATCTATCCAAAAGGTGGAGAGAAGGCAACACACAGAGTCACAGCACAACCAGCTTTGGAGGTGAGTGACCTACAGCCACAACAGCTCCCCCAGGGCTCAGAAACACTGCTGAGCTCCTGTCTTGTCCTGCAGCTGTCACAAGGCTCTAAAAGTCCATGTTTTATTGTAGCAATGAAATGCATCATAAAACAGACACCTGAATCCTCCCCGTCACCTGAGTACTTATTGCTGTCTACCTTCTGAATCAATCCAGATCCTGAGTTCCAGCGAACATTTGTAAAAATGGCAAAAAACTCTGACAGTCTTGCATTGACAGGGCTTCCATTTTATCCTGGGAATCGTAATCTAATCATCACAGTAATATGAGGAACCAGACTAAAATGTGTCAATCTCATATTCCTTGGCATCTAACAGCAGTTTGTGCTGGCTGAATCGGAGTGAGGAACTATGGTAGCTGCTCCTTCTTGTAAAATGGATGTCTAATATTGCAGAAGCTCTTAAATTACCTGTGAGACTTCTCTTAAAGTTAGGTTGAAAATTGTCATTCTTCCTTCTGAATAATAAATATAGTGCTCACTTCATATTATAGTGAAATGTATTTTGATGTTTAAAACTGGTAATAAGAGCTATTTCACTCTAAGATTGTCATCTTTTATTCATTCCACTGCAACGAAAATTGAGACTTTCTATCTAGAAATGAAAACAAGATTCCCAGTTAGTAGAAAGTAACAGTCTCTTTTACTGATTACTTTAAAATAAGGACAAGGTATTTCAACTATTCACAAATATTTCTGACATATCACAAAATAACATAAGAGAAAAAGATTATAATGAAACAAAATAGTTTAAAATTTAATGTTTACAAACACATTGCTTTTTTCCTTTTCAAAATGTTTGCTGATACACTTTTGCAGGAGACTTTCTGTTTGATCACATACATTGCTGCTCTATACACCATGTTTTGTCCTAAGAGATGAATGGGAAAAAATATTTTCAGACTTGTACTTTGTCAGGAACAGGGATTTGGAATATGACTAATGGTCTTGCAAATTTGTTTCTGTGAAGTTTGTACAAGGCTGAACATGCTATGCAGCTGACATATATTTTACACTGTATTTAATTATTCAAAAGAACCGAGATCTATTTTTTTATAAATTTTTTTTTTAAACTTTAAGGCTGCACCATTAGAAGCAGTTTACCAATCTCTTCTCATTTTCTCAAATGTTATAATTACTTTGTCAATTTTAGAATTGCTAGCAGTGATGATGATGCCCACTTAAAAAATTCCAAACAAAACAGAAGAATTCCCTGGGAAACTGCACAGCACATGCATGATACATAACTATAAAATTAGTCCAAAGTTTTGATAAATACTTATTCCCACTAGAGCTAATAGTTGTTCTAGTTCTAAAGAATAAAATGCTTATTATATACAGAAGGTTGGCAGAGTATGGACATTTGCCAAAGACCACTGGAGGCATTTCAGGGTCCGAATGGTTTGTGCAGTGTTAACACAGCTGCCTTTTTTCCTCATGTGTAGGCTTGTGCCACCTGTGGGAAGGGATCATTCCTGCCAGTGCCAGCGGGCTCAACCTTACAAGATCCAAGTTCAACAGCTACTGGCTGCTTCAGCTGAACCAGGAGCTTCTTGCAGGATTCAGGGCCCTTTAGGGCTTGCTTGTGAGCTCGATGCAAACTTGCAGAGCATTTTCAGATGCCAGTTTCCATCAGGTGAGCATTTGCTCTTTTGCCTTCAGGACGTTACAACATGAAAAACTGCACCAGCATTTTCCAATGAGCACCATTAACTGACTTTGATAATTTGGCATGACCAGCAGTATTGAAGAAGATGCTGAACTTTTGTCTTGAACAAAAAGAAAGTACAGCTGCTAATTACCCTGCAACTACAGTTTGTAAATACTAAAAAATATAAATATGTTAACCATACACATATACAAAAAATGCAGCAGTAGCAATATTACAGGATGCAATGCCTTCTCTCTCTAACTGGTTTTGGTTAATACAGATGCAACAGCAAAGTAAATGCTATTTCTATGAAAAATCTTTCTTCAAAGGTCAGTGGCAGTAAGCCAAAGCTGAGGTCCAGGCTTTCACTAATCCAATGGGATTCACACAAATTAATCAATGAAAGATAGCACTGTGGGATGATAGTGGCTGTTGGTTAACACAAACTCTGAGATGGAGCTTTCTTTTGCTACCATTTGTAATTAATTCTCCCTTTTTCAGAAGTGCTCTTACTATGAGCACTCACCAGACTTAACAAGGAACAAAGTTATTACACACAATATATTATTTAGGGGTAAGGATTAATAGAAATAACCAGCCTGAGATTGGATTTCCTCAATCCTGGGAGGTGCTCTCCATGTATTTAAGTGAAGTTTCCATAAGATTGCACTTAGCATACCACTAAGAAGTTGCTGCTCTCCCACTTTTTCTTCTTTTCCATGCAGTTCTGTTTCAAAGTTTTGTAGGAATTGCATGAGAAGGGCAAGAGGAGATGACTGCTGGTCCATTGTCTTGGCTAATGCTCTTCAGAGCAGCGTCCTCTCCTCAGGACCACATCATCTAGTCCAATATCCCCAGTTCTTCCTTTCCCTTTCTCACCTCTGAAAATAACCTAGAAAGAGAAATAGAACAATTTGAGTGAGGGATGAAAAAAAAATTACAAGTAAGTAATTAATTAAAAAGTGCTATGAAGGATTCTGGTCTTCATTCAAATTTTCTGCAGGTTTCCAGTAAGCACCTCCAAAATCACTATCATTTAGTTGATTTTGGGTTTTAATTAGCTAGAAAATAAAACTTCCACATTTCTTCCTGATTTCTCTTTGGCAGAGGCCTTCCCTGCTTACTTAAGAGGGTAAGTATCTGATCTTTGGGTAAGTGTCCCAGTGGTTCAGGTCAGCAGCCCTGGCTGCCCATGCAGACAGCTACTGCCAGGGGGTCAGGAGAGGCAAGGGACAGTGCAAAGGGGGACTGCCAGAAGTGAGAAATTTAGGGGGGAAAAAAAGGGTAAGAATATAGCAGATACATTGTTCACCTGTTACAAATGTCCTCATTCTCAGTCCAACACTCATTTACAGCTAACAAAGTCAAGTGTCTTTGCTACTGTTGCTGAGGTAAATTTTCTAGAAAATTATCTGCACTAATCACAGCCTTAATATTCATTTTAGAGCTAGACACTGTGTATGTCTTGTAGCCTGCTCCCATCATGAACATTATGATGTGTGAGGTTTTCAGAGCACCTGATATTTAAGACAAACAGGCCCTGAAATACCCAAGCCACTTCTTCAAATCTAAAATAAAAACTGCCTTCAGAGGTTGAAGAATAACACTGAGCTTTTGATACCAGTTTAATCACATAATGTTTCTAAAATTTCCAGGTATTAAGAGTTTCTTCATGGCACTTCAAGCAGCTTCTTTTGATTGCACTAAACCATTCTGTGTTACGGGCATTGTTAGGTCATCATTCACCTCCTCAGCCTGCACAGCTACAGGCATGCTAAAGGGCATAAAACCACATGAGATTGCACTTGTAATCTCCCTGCATTACCAAAAATTACTTCTTTTCAGTACCTTTGCCCTGATTTAGCCAGTTACTAATCCACAGGGGATTTTTCCTATTTTGTGGCACTGAATTATTCAAAGTATTGCTCACGAGGAATCTTGATACAGGCATTTTTTTGAATTCTCTATAGTGTATGCCTTTGTCCATGAGGCTGTTCTTTCCTAGGTGGTGATTCCCTTAAAATGGGCTGTACCACGTAACTCAGGAAATAACAGAGTAGCCTGTACTATATTTCTATAGCTGTGATTTCTTTTTTGCATGCATAAAACTAATTTTAAAAAATACACAGTAACGCTCATCTGTATTGTGATTTCATTGGCAGGGATAAAAGTAGTAAAACAGAGTGAAACTGAAGCCAGAAGATCAACACTGTAGTGCTGCACCATTTCAGCATCCTCATCTTTTTCATGCAAAAACCCAAAAAGCAACACAATCATCAGTACTTACACTCTTGATGCCTACGCCTCGTAACGTTATGTGTGTCTGTCTCCAGCCATGGCCACCATTTCTTCCCCAAACAGCTGGGCCATGAGCACCAGTTTTCCTTACAAAGACTTGCAGGGTACCAGAATGCAGCCCAGGTACCTTATGCCTAAAGGACAGGCACAAATCTCCAGCCTGAGCCAGGTGACCCAACGGCAGGATAAGATGTGCTACTCCTCCTTCTTTGCCCTTGGGATCAGAGATGGTAAGGTACTGCCCCCCTGTAGTGGAAAGAGCAGTTAGTTGGGGGGTTTGTTTGGTTTTTTTAACACTACTAGGTTGCAGGACCAAAAGCACAATACTCATTAAAAATATATAAAGGGGTCCACAAGGTCCAGAGAGTGTAAAATAAGGCATATAGAACCAGAACAAATGCATCTGCCTCCTGCAGGGTAAGATTACCCGTGCTGCTCTTCTCTATACATTAGTACCAGGCGGGGTGTTGCCAACCTAATTTCTTTTTAACAAAGAAAACAATATCCCCCTCTCCAAAATTAAACCCCCATGTATTCTGTCATTTCTGACAACGCCTTGATCACGGCATGATTTTAAACCCACAGTGACATTAAAGCACTGTGCAAATTCATGCGCCTTTCAAGCTGCAATGTTCTGCTGCTGTATAGATAACAGAGACCAGAATAAACACTATCATGTAATTGAGCTATGGCTCTGTCCCTTTCCTTTTGTTTGGGAACTGTGTTAACAGGGTAAACCTCAAAGCATATCCATTTGCAACCCTGATAGCCTCTTTTATTTAACTGTAATTTAAACTGTTAATCTGGATTAGATAGAGAAAGCAAGAAGCAGTAATGATTTCCACATGGCTGTTAACCCCAAATTCTAACAGTAGGAAGTTGTCAGTGAACATACATACTCAATTCAAAACCCTATTACTATCTCTTATCATATATGAAGTAAAGGTGCCTTCCAGAAAACACTAGGAACATGAGAAGCTAAGGATCTCAGGTATCCATAAAACCTAGAAAGAAAAAAGGCACTTTTCACACCGACACTCAAAACTAAATTAAATAAGGCTTCACATTTTGGAGAAAACCCAGACCTGTATGAGTTGTTTGTACTTTTCATTAAAGCTTTTGCAAAGTGGGTAAAACCTTTAAAATCTGAAATTACCAAAGGGGAAAAGGTTAAAAAACAAAACAAAACAAAACAAAAACCAACCCAAAACCTTATCTTACACTGAATCAAAGAATATTTTTTCTTTATGCTATCAGATTTTACATATATATTTTTTTTTAATTTAAAAATGCCACCTGTACCTTAGGTTTATGAAGAAAGTGGCATTTTTAGGCTCCTTAGTTAAAACCAAAGATTTAGAAATATTGGATGTTTGTAATATGGTTGATATACACAGCTAAACAGGACAGAAAACTGTTTTTTAACTGTCCACCTGTAGCTACTCAAACAGATCATTATTTTTTGAAAGTTTCTGTTTGAAAGTCACAATGTTTTCCCTTGAAAAGCTGTAAAATTTAATTACAATGCACCACGGCTTGTCACACACTTGAAAGGAAAGCCAACCTTGTCTCCAATTCACTACTTCTACATAAGTTTTTAAGTTCTTTAGTCTGAATGAGATTTAACAAAGAAAAGTATCATGCTGCTGTCTGGGCCCCTAGCTTAGCATTTAGCCATGAAGTGGGATCCATTTTGTCCAAGGATCTGTTAAAACCTTTTGGTGGGTATTTTCTCAGGGAGTTTTTGGGGTTTTGTGGTTTTTTTCCTTTCTTTTTTTTTAATGCATTGCTTTTGCAGCCAGGTCACTAATTGCTAAAATAAGCATAATAGAGTTTAAATAACTGTACCTGTTTGCTGAAGATACAATTATAGCACTATGAAAGTAGAGACTTATTAAGTGCATCGTTTTCAGATAGTTACTGTAGCTAAATCCAATCAATAGGAAACAGATTTAGGTAAGCACAAAGCAAACAGCTGTAGGCAAGCCCCTGCAGGAAAAGGTCCCCTCAAATCAGCATTTTCTGCATGCAAGATAAGCTTATAATGCTTCAGCACAGCACCTTTCAAAATGCAGATCGTGATAAACCAATATATAGCAAACTTTGCAAGGTGAAAGCAAGCAGTCAGGAACAAGCTGTGAAAATAAATCCTTCCAACAAGGTATTCCAGACTGGAGGGGGTGGGTGGGTGACTTCAAGGGACTAGTTTTAACAGGTTATGTCAACAGCAGCAGAACATACACAGGAAATAAAAAGCTGAGCTTGTCCCTGACTACTGGGAAGTAATGCAGGGGAAAAGTCTGACAAAAAGAGCCAGTTAAACATCATAGTTCTGGAATTTAGTATGTATTAAGAACAATTTTTGAGTACAGATAATGAATATGCTTTGAGTGACTGACTTAGAAAAAATGGATTTTAAAATCTGTTTTTTAAAAAAGGTATGAATTAAGTGTAATTGTTTTTAAGTGCCACTCTGCAGGCAGGAGCCAGCTGCCTGTTTTCTGATCTGCAGGAGGAAGGAGCTCTGCTCTCCCCATCATTCCCAAGGCTTTTCAAGTGTCACAAGGAGCTCCTGAAGTACTGGAGCAGGCTGTCTGGGGGGACCCCTGCCCGGGCAGTGAAGACAGCACTTGCACTGAGCCAGCCAAGCAGCCTGGAAAAGGTGCCAGGTCACCTGCTGTGGTGGCACATGACTGCCCCATCAGTGGCCAGACAGCTCTGACAGGGGGTGCAGGACGAGAATGGCTCTCAGTGCCCTCACCCTTCCTCATCTTAACCCCAGAGAGCGCCTTTCCTTCCGCCCTGGCAGCCCCACACCATGTGAGCTCTGTGCACTCCAAAGGCTGCTCCTTGGGCACGTAATCCCATCATTACGGGGAGCCAGGGATGTGTGTCTAATCCCCGGCACCGCTGGGGGAAGGGGAGGCAGCGAGGGCAGCAACCTCGCAGTGCCACATCAGCATCAACAGGGGACAAAACACATCCCACGTGCTGGGACAGCAGAGCTGCGAGACAGGGAAGGGCTGCTCCTGTGGCTGAGCACCAGTGCTGATGCCACCACTGTGTCTCCTGTCCTGCATGCAGCCACTACACACTCCCCTCTAATGTTTGGTGTAATGCCACTTTTTAGCATCTCAAATAGTCCCTTTTTTAGAAGCCTCTGTATTTCAGCATTAAGTTGTCTGCCTTCCAGTTACTTAACATTTTTCCTATATACAGATTGATTTTATCGACTTCTACTCCAAGCTACAGCAATCTGAGAGGTTAAACTAGAACATTATATCTGGCAGCAAAACAAAGATATTTCCAGTACCTTCTATAATTTTGCTAGTGATAGGGAAATAATTATGTTTACATGGTAGTTTGAAAAACAAGCTTTATTTCACCATAAATAAAAGTTGTTCTCTAGTCCACATTTTTTTCTGATTCCTTTAAGACAAACTTTTGCTGACTACATTTACTACTCCTTCAGAGACATTCCTATTTTAAAGATGTCAGCTATGATCAAAGTGTAAATTTTCAATTGCTCTCTCACATTGGGAATCCTCAATTTCGCTTTTTATACACAGAAGAGGCATCAGTGTGAAATATACCCCAGAACTAAAGGGAACAGAAGCTGTGTAACTTGTTCTCAAGCAGAACTGTCATCAGCCTCAAGCCTTGGTGGTTCTTCAGCTGCAGGCTGTGATTGTACACAGATCACTTACCTGATACGTCTCTCACTGGTTCCCAGTGCAAGTCATCATCTTTGTCTTTGATCCATCCACACAGTCCACTGTCAAAATCACAGCTGTGCACCAGCACTCCTAGCAGAACAGAGCAGGAGGTCACAAAAAAAACCCCAAGAAACAATTCAGATTGTTTTAGTTTTCAATTTCCCATGTAGCCTACATTAACAAGTAAGTATGAAAATTAAATGCAGAAGAAGAAGCCCTAGGAAAAGAATCTAAAAAAACACTAAAACAATAAAAAATACATTTGTATTATTAACAATTCGTGCTATTTTTGTGGTGAATTTTTTAGGAAATAAAAGTGTAAGGTTCATATAGGCGAAGGGTTGGTTTTACATGGTTTTATAAAGCATAGTTTCAAAGAGGGGCATAAGATTTTGGAGTCCTGAAAAATGTATAAACCACCAAGAAGTCTCAAAAAATCGTAAACCCTAGGTCCTAAGTAGGAGACATGGTCATTACCTGGGTCATCGTTTGCTTCAAATTCATCAGCTGTAATCCCTCTTTCAATTTCAAGTATTTCAAACAGATTATTGCTCACTCCAGGCTGGCGTGGAACTGTGAAGAAAAATGAATGAGATAAGGAAGTAGGTCACTAATTTATCTCTAGCAAAATCCAGGAGAGCAGCTCTGGGCATTGTGCTTTTCCTGGAGATTTCAATACATTTAATTATATTCAACACAAAGACTCATAAACTTTATGCCTACATGATTTATGATTTGTGTTGTAACATTTACCTAAGCACTGTAAAAGGTGATTCCAAATTTCCTAAAGGCCCTTTGAATGAAAGCACCTTTTTACCAAGGGGAAAAGCTTTAACCTTGAAGCACACTATTCCTCTCCAAATGCATTTTCAGAGATAGTGGTTTCTCAATAAAATAAAGCCACATGAAAGTCCTCACACAACCCTTCCACAGACATTTACAGGAGAACCTCAACAGTACGTGGAAGAGGCCCCACGTGCACTCAACCTTTGAAATACAGCTGAAGATACATCCATCAATCTGCAAAGGATTAGAGCTGCCAAAACAATTATCAGGGTTGTACTGGGAGCTGAGAAGGAAGAGCTCTAGTGGAAGCTGGAATTCAACTGTATTTTTTTTTTTTTTTTTTTTGCTTTCCTGCACAGCCTGTGCTTCAGCTGCTGTTCCCAGCTGGAGGAGAAGGAACAGCTCTCCGTGATTAAGAGGCCCAGAGGTTATTAAGACATTCAGCATTCAGGACAACCTGAAATTTATGAGCTCTTTGTGGGAGTGATGGCTGCCAATGTCAGGTGGCTACAAAGACTCCCCCGTATCTCTGAAGATGCTGTGCCAGTTTGTGCAAGTTTCACACAGGTTTCTTGCCTGATGGACAGCTGTCAGCTAGAGATACACAGATTGCACCGAAAAGAGCTGTCTTGGAAAATTCCTCTTTCGGAGGCAGGTCTAATGCATAATTCATAACAGTAGTAATGTGTTTCAGACATGTCCTCAGATTTTATAGGCACCTCTGACATCTAAGGTATTTGTAAGCGTCTTATCTATTAAAAACTTGGCATGTTTTCCATTTGCAGTGCTAAAATAACTATTAATGTCTCTATAGAACAAGTGAGAACAAGAAGAATTAAGATAACTGAAAGGACTGCTGTTTTCGGAAAATCAAATCCAAGGTTAAGAAGGAACTTCTTTTACACCAGTTCAACATGAAGATAGCAGTGCTACAAGAGCTCCTCTAAAGCCAAATGACAGAAAAGAAAAAAATGTTGAAATTAGGACAAAATAAGCAAACTCTAATGTATTTTAAAAATACTATTCTAGGCTAGAGGTCTTGAATAAAAATTTTATACAACAAAAACAAATAGTTTAAAAGCTCAAAACCTGTAGTAAACCAGTGAACTCCTAAATATAATAGTCATTATTTGAATCATTAAGTCTCCCTTTATTTTGTTTTCTTTTTAATCCTTTGCAGATTTTTTGATTATGTCTATTTGCAGTCTAGGATATTAATGCTCAAAACAGCTTCAGATTTAAGGCTGACTTGGGTATTAGAGGACTGTTAATTTTTAATGATTCCTTGATTGTAAATAGCATTTTTGTTGCTTCATTTCACCTGGGCTGTTTTGCTTATGTGATTAAAAACCTGGAGCTTTAATATGAAAGAAAGCTTACAAACGTGCACAGTCCACACAACCTAGGCCAATAATTGCCTTGCAGAACATCTATGCATAAATATTATATTCAGGCACATAAATCAATTGTTCAGCCTGAATTATGTAGGTGGGACAGTTGAACAAGCACACCTATGCTGCACACCCAAGGAGCACCACCTTGCCTTTCCTCACCTCAGACTGTGCCAAGGGAAGAAGATGCTGGTTGTTTTCTATGCTATGGAGAACAAGTCAGCTTCAGAACTGCTGAGCACAGCACAGCAAGGCTCAGACCACAGGTTCTAAAGGAGCACTAAATGAGGCTCTAAATGAGTACTGTGGCAAAGAGCATGAAGGAAACTCTCTGCCATGCTTGGAGGTTTGTAGGATACTCAGGGGTCACAGTTTTAAGGTACATGTCCCTGTGCACTCTCTTCCCAGTCTGTCACAGTCCATGTTTATGGAAAATACTGCAAAAAATATTAGGAACTTACCTTGTAAACTACTTCAGTGTACTTCTTCAAGTACCACTTCTAATGCACTGGTGTTTTCTATAAACCTGAGTTACATCTGTAGACACATACAAGAATTCTCCAAATTCAAGTTGGTATATCTGCCTATAATTAAAGCTCTGCAAAAATATTTTTTTTTAAAAATCACTGAGAGTCCTTTCTGAACACTTTTTTTACTAACTTCTAGAAGAATGTGTTACACTTCTTTAGTAGAGTCACTTCAGTGCTTGGACCTAATTACAGGAATTCGCACTCAATTTGAAACAAGGGTTACCATAAGAGATGCAGGACTCTAAATATGACCCACATGTACACTTCTTTTTGCCACAACAACCAATATGTTGAGTGGTGATCGTGGGAGAAAGTATTTCGTACAATTATTTGTGCAAGCTTCCCAAGCCTTTTCTGTGTACTTTATATAGCGTATCAGTGTGCTTTTCACTTAACTTCAATGGTTTGATAAAGCTTGTTAAATAGAAACTTGGCTTCTTTTACTTGGAGAATTTTATAAGCTCTGTGAACCACTATACCCATACTACCTTATTCTCAAAGTTCATGATCTAACTTCTTCATAGACTCACAAATCTGGGGGGAAACATTAAATAACTGTGATTATTAAATATTAAATAAGAGCGATTTCTTTTGGGCATTTTTAACTTTTGGGAAAGCAATACCGCTTTTTTTATTTACTTGCTAATTGCTGAGATTGGGAGTAAAAAAAAGTACATGTATATATATCAGCTTGTTTGCAATAAACTAATAATTGCTGGTTTGGCGTTACAAAACCAAAACATGGAGTGTGACTTCATGTTATTAGTAGTTGTTACTACTATTAATAATGCAGTTCTCTGGCTTACAGAAAAAACTGATTTTGCACTGTAAGTACAATTCCACTCCACACAGTAATCATGACTAAGCTTCCCATTCACTAAAAACAATAAGAAAAAAGGAAAAAGATTTTTTGACTGAATAGCTACTGAATAGCTGTTAAATCCCACTTGCAAAAATTTCTGCAAGTGATGAGATCTCACACACAACCAGTAGAAAGCAGCTAAAAGAAAGGGTAGTCTAGAGGTCAGTCAGACTGAGAAAACAAGAATAAGTCCTGTTTTCCTCCAGGGAGGATATTGATATATGCTTGGCTAAAAAAAAGAGGCAACAGAGAGGTACATGGCACTCTTTTGTTCAGACACCCACATTGTCCAGGATATATTTCTTAAAATTCTACAGAATTCAAATTCTGCAGTAAGAGTTATTTTAGGAAATGCTTTGATGGACTGTGCCACCCTCTCCAGCACTATTTACATACGAGGGGAGGCACAGCAGTGTCAGCATGCCACCACTCTGCAGTCCAATCTTGCAATTCTTGGGCAGTTAGAAGGCTCAATAAGTTTTACCGAAATCAAGCATCTTGGTATTTATCTTTGCAGAAGGTTTTCTGCAAAGCGACCTGCCTGCTTTTGTATGAACATCCATTCAGGAGGTGCAGAGTGCCAACTGAGTTTCAGGGAAACACAGCTAAAACAAGGAGTGTATAGAAGCTTGCATATCAGATCTGGGGACAAAACTTGCTGGAAGACTGATTGAGGGTAGACTTGTAAGACTTCTAGATTTCATGAGTGACCTCCAGAGTACCAAGAGGAACAAAGCACCTATTGCAAATGCTTAAATATAAAGACAAATACATTTTAAAAGGTGCCAGAACAGTGAAGACAAATGTAATACTGTCATAAAAACAATGCTACTCTAATGATATCAAGGAATAACAAAACCCCTATTCTTTACTTTTATTATTTCCCTTTTTTCAACAGCTTCAAGGATCACAAAACCACACTTACTACACTAAGGACTTTGCAGTCACTGAAAGGGAGAAAAGAAAGAATCCAGTTTTAATCCAATCTTTACATTTTTAATACCTGTTGTGAGAAACATTTCCTAACTCCAATCTTTTTGGCTCCACTAAGGGCTAAGAAGGAAAACTGCTGAACTGTTTTTTAATACAGATAAGGGGGTTTGCTCTTGCTATGATGGTATCTAGTATTACACTTTAAGTTTATGCTTTTAGTGCTTATCATCCAGATCCTAATGGTAGCAAAAATTCACAGTCTTATTGAGAAGTTTGTTCTATTTGTTAGAGACTTATAACTAGAAAATATTTCTCTGTACTTCACTGTAGTTTGTATCAGTCCTGAAACAGTTAAATATTAAGCTATCACTGCATTCCTCTCTCATTGCCATTCCCCCCATATCCATATCAGGAGAAGATTATCCTTGGTGCCAGATTCCACTGTCTGCATCTGACTAAGAGGTTCAAAGGCCAAGTGTAGGAATTCCATGTTAAAAAATACAAATTTTTTTTGTTCTCTAAAACAGCAGCTCCCCAAAGTCACTGCAGACTTTTTTAGAAAAGGAGTAAAGCACCTAAAGAAAAGCAACAACCCAATACCTTTCAAAAATTGCAAAGGCATTTAAATAACATTATCAGCATTTTTATCATTTGTGCTCTTTGTCACTGCTGAACAGAGTAATTTGTCTGATCCTCAGCTCATTTCAAGTTGAGGAGCATATTCAAGAAAGCTCTGAAGTGAAATCCTAGGTCAAGTTGACCCAGTGTGTGGAACAGAAGGTCAAATAACAAGAAAGGGAGAAAATCAGGAGCAAGGAGTCACCAAGGAAAAGGTTAACTAAGAAAAAACTAGAATTTGAGAGATGCTTGAAGAAAAAAAAAGTCCGTTTGACCCAAGCATGTTTCCTCTCCTGATTTGGAGCAATCCTAGAGCACCAGGATTGGCAGGATTTGATCTAGGACATCTGTGCAGCAGCCAATGGCCCCTTTGCCATGGAGTGCCTGACAGAAGTACCACCTATTTGATGGCAGAGCAAAGCAGGGCTGCTTCCTCCCTAAGGCTACAGAGCCCCATGGGAGAAAAAGGAAGGGACATGTTCATGCATCCCAAGACAACGTAGCTGAAAACACAGCTTTGAGGTCTTTAGCAGATGTTAATGGCTGGGAGCAGAGAACTGCCAGTGGTTGCTGGGTACACAGCTCTCTATGCTTGGTTTTGCCCATCCCTGTGTAATAAAACACTACCTTTTGTGACTCTTTGGAATACAAAACCCTTGGAGACACGGGAGGAAGCAAACACCTAAGAAGACACAAATTATTTTGAAGATTTATAAAACTGAGGTTAAATCCTAGTTCAGGACCGATGTGGATCTAACATCAATTTTCTCCTCTGTTTTCCAAGAAAATAAGAGTTACAAGACTACTAATTGCTGCCTGTATTCTCTAGTGAGAAACAAAGAGATGCAGAAAGAGCAAGGCTTTTTCTTCTCTTTCCAGGCAGGCATATGGGGACCACAGTGCAAATTATTTTTGCTAACTGGCTTCTTTGCTGCCTCAACTGGAGAAGCAGTTGATTTGAAGAAATGAACCTAAAGAAGCTCAGTATAAGCAAAACAAAATTAGCTCATATCCACAACCCAGGAATATTACCAAGATGTCTGATGTAGGTGAGACTACAATAGAAACAGCTTTAAATAATCTGAAGGAAATAGTTCAAAACTCTGCTTCCCTGAAGAAATGTAGAGGCAAGTGAAAAATCCATTAATGTTTTTGGAGGTGGGGAGGGCTTGGTACATCCAGCTAGCAGCTAAAAGCAGTTGAAGGTTAGCTAAATGTTACTAGATATTCCAGTTTGAAATCCTGTATTGGCTTAATACCATGGTTGTTACCACTGTGTCTGGCTGTGAGGAATGATTTTGGAGAGGCAGCTTACACTCGGTGGGAGCGCTGCCGTCCTGAGCTCACAGTGCCTCACACTGAGCAGCTGCAGCCCAACAGAGCCAGGCACTGCTCCCCCACACACCTGGAGCCGGGGCAGGGCTGGCCAGCAGGAACCTGAACTCAACCCTCCCTGCACACATCTGTTATTTACCATGGGCCAAGAGCACTCATGCAACCACACTGGCAGCCCAGCTAACACTCAGGAATGCAGCACCTGGCATAATGCTCCCATGCTGCTGAACCCTGGTGTGATGGCATCTGGGGATGTTCAAGTATCTCTGGGTTATCCTTACAAGTGTGGTACTGAGAGGCAGACCCAGGCTCTGCACATCCCACTGTAGTAATGTATGTGGGTTGTAACTTTTCTACCTGCTTTTCTAAATGTCCGACATGAGGAAGCTAACTTCTGCTCTTCCCCACAAACCTCTGCAGTAACAGCATTCAAAAGGTGAAGAAACACCTTACTCTACAAGCAATGCTTTCTTTGAGAAAGTAGCTCATTCTTCTGGAATGGAACTGTCTTGCACTAAACTGTAGGTTTCAAATCCTTAACAAATGCTTTTGTTCCCAACATAAATGCTTCTAGACAGAAAAAGTAGGAGAGAAGTCCAATGACCACTACCTAGATGACACTTTCAGTGTCCAGAAGAGAAAAGAGAGAAAAACAGAGCAGAATGCAGAGTGGAGAGAAAAAGATAAGAGAGAGGAGAAAAAAAGACACCAGCCTCATTGAAGATCACCATACTAGAATCATCTGGAGCACAAGTGGAATATGCTTTCAGTCACACATATGTGTATCAAATATGTGTCTTGCAGTGAATTAAAAAAATTAGATGGTATTGAAGATAGACATCTGCTGACTTGAGCCGAGGACTCTCTGTCCCTGCATTACCTGCTGAGGCCAGGAACAGCCAATGCTTGACCCGTTTCAGTCCTGCTGTGCTGTGCACTGAAGCCTTTGAAGCTATATATGTATATCACAAACCTCAGAGTGTGGCAGCTGACCTAAACCAACAGTTGATAAACACTGCGAAGGTCCTGTGTGTGCTGTATGTACCATAATGTAAGCTGTAGTCAGACCAAGCCAAACTTCAAAGGCTTTCACTTTCCTATTTTCCAAACTCCTATATCTGAAGCACATGTATTGAAAACATTAGCTTCCAAATCTCTCTAGGGACAATACAAAAAGATTAATTGTAAATAATAAGCTTTACACAGAGAATTGTTATGACTTCAGGAAAATGGCTGAAAACTATCCCTCTGCTTTAGTATTCCAGAGAACGCTTGCAACATGGAGAACTGGGAAGCATAATCCTGGATTCTAAAATGATTTCTACAAAACTGTATTTTTAACTATTGGGTCCCATTACATTAAGCTTCATAAATCTTTATTATATTTCCTTTTAGAATTTCACTTCACCATATCTCCATATTTTTAACTGAATATGAAGCCAAACGTACACTCTACTAAGCAGTACCAGGATTTGTCTTCTAACTTTTTTCAGCTTCACTCTCCATTTTCTGTCTACAGCAGATAAAATGTTACAGGGAAAACTATTTGACAAGGAAATAAATATTTCACTGAGTAATGACCTAGAACAACAAAGCCCAAGAAATTATTACACAGATGCCAAAGCAACCAGAAAAAAACTCCCACATTGCTTGTGCACCTGCTCTTAGACAGCAAACTTTTCCTCCTACTGCATTGCTTCAGCAGCTTTATTGTACAACAAGCTGGAGAGATGATCCAACACACTCTCTCCATCTCTAAAATTAGCCGCAGAACTAAAGATGAAATCGCGTGTTGAGTATTTCTTGGCAGATATGCACAGCTCTGTAAGTGCCAGTAATGTCTCCTGTGGTATGCACTAAAGCTGGCACAATGGTGCCGTAGACTTCAGAGGAGCTCCTAAAGTTACATGTGTTCATGCTATGAGAATCTTTACTATCTTCAGCTTTTCATGCATCCCTTTGCACAGACACAGTCCAAAAAATAACCCTCTGTGCTATTTTTATGCATTTTCCCCATTGTTTAGTCATTAACGTCTGAGACTATTTGAACCCATACAAAAGAGGTCACATAGAAGTCTTTAGGTAATCAGGCACGATCCCGTTTCTTTACCATTCTTAAAGCTATGGTAATACTTTGTTTAGGAAGGATTCTCAACTCCCTGAATTTAAATCCATTGACTACTTTATGAGTTATGTTGTACTTCTATACTTTTAAATCAAATGTCTTTCATTTCCTTAAAACCTTCACCTGAGAGCATAATTAAGTACTTCACCAGGACAATATATTCAATAATTTCAGGAGGAAAAAATAAACACTTTATTGATTAATTGATTCAGAACTTCTGTCTCAAACTTTTATTAGGTAATAAAATCAACTACTGTGCAGCTTTACCATATAACCATTTTCAGTTTCATTTCTCTGTTCTCAGTGGTATAGTGTTCCAAAAATCCCAAACAATATAGTGCATGCTTTCATCTACAGCTTTGATAAACAAAGGCCTATGGAAAATTACTTACTGAACACATCTCCACGGGGTTTCTGAGGATCTGGCTGGATCCTGTTGTCATCTATAACTCCTTGGGAAGATGTAGTTTCAATGGGAACACGTGAAGGCTCTTCAGTTGTTACCAGAGGAGTTCTTTGTGGTGCTAGTGTAGGTCTTACTGTTGTAGGCTGAGGTGTTGTTGGAGGCGGAGGCTTCACCACTGGTGTCGTGACCGGCCTTGTTGTCACTGGCACGTATCTCGTGGTTGGCTTGGGTGTCAGTCGAGTTGTCCTGGGTGCAAGTTGAGTTGGCCCAGGTGTAGGACGAGTTGTTGGCCCAGGTGTGGGACGAGCTGTCAGCCCAGTTGTCGGATGAACTGTTGGCCTGGTCACTGGCCTTTCTGTAACAAAACCAGGTACATGCAGTGGTCTGAGGAGTTGTATCTTCAGCATCAACAATCCTACTCATTCTACCCACTGCCTCCCTCAGGGAGAGTGCCTTGAATATGTGATATGGTCCACGTGGTTCAATCAGAACAATAGGAATAACTGCAAAGAGAATCAAAATGGGACCAAAGTGGATGTCTCAGCCTCTCACTCCAGAAATGTAGCAGTCTATTTCATTATGACACAGAGACACTTGGATGAAATACTTCTTCTTCTGAAGGTTTCCATTAGTTAGAAACATACTTTAGCATCAGCACTGCTAAATTATCACATCCCTTTATGTCATACTTAGCATTGCAGCAATTTAGAGATAATTTAGAATGACTGAAGGTCAAGACACTTCCATCCCACCTCCTCTCAAGCATCAAGTCTCTTTCAAAGTTGGCAAAACTTACAAAAAAGAATGGTGGTTTAAAAGCATGGGGAGGAAGTCATTGGTTAAGCAGCTCTCTAAGCTGGACGTGTTCATAACCAGGAGTGGAAGCAAGTTTAGGAAGATCCTGATGTTACAACCATTTTGATCACAAATGGCTAGATACCTTTGGATTAAGAAAGTTCTTGCAGACCTTTCCTTCTAAGCATTTCTCCCTGTCAATAAGCAGTAATCATTCTAGAGATTGAACCAAGCCAGCCTTCGTTTAGATCCTTCCCTTTGCTAAACACCAGGAATCTGAGACATTTTTCAGCCTTCACAAAAATGAGGTGCTGGACCGTGCAGCACTTTCACCCCAGTGGTAGTGCCCACAGTATCATCTCCTCAAATATTTCAGAAAGGACAACAAATTTTAACTTAGTCTCACAAGGAGAGTTCCTGAAGACATGAAGCACAAGAATATGTTTTGTTGTTTTCTATTGCTTAATAAGCCTTTTATATCTCACTGGAGATACTGAAAGGCTCAGTAAGAACTCTAGTCACATATTTTGTGTACAAGCGTTTCAAGTATAGCATATACAACATGAAAAACTACTATTTATTAAACAGTGAATTGTTTGATGATAGCAGGTAAAAAATGTTTTCCCTCTGGCCACCTGTTTATTACTATCCCTTTGAATACCCTGTACTTTTGACATTTATAGTATATTAAAATATAAAACACCCCTTAGGACTTTGTCCCAGTAACACACATGAAATGTGCCCACATAAACTTACAAGCACTAAGGATGTGATAGAAACACCTTTTACTATGACAGCTGCAGCTGAAGGGGAAAAATGGTGCTGCTCTTTAAAGAGATCAGTGAGTCACCAAAGACCAGATCCCAAAAAGGAATGCAGGATCAAAACGATCCAGCAGATGTCACAGAGCTGCTTACTCCTGTGGAACATCAAATATGGGAGAGCCCCAACACCTTATTCTGTACCAAGGGGGTGGCTTTTTCTCCCAAGAAAAAGGTGGCCAAGGGAATTTTCCAACAGCAAATCCTTCCAGAGAAATCCTCCTTCCTGGCACTTCTGACACCTGGGAAGCAGCAGGGAGTGGATGGGGTGAGCTGATGAAACAGGCCAGTTGTGGAGTGTACATAACAACAGGGTATGAGTAATGTGCACTGTTTGATCAGACCTACCCTGCTTACTCAGTTGCTCTCATCCTGAAGCAATCTCTAAAATCAAGCTGCAAATAGGGAGAGGTGAATTTCTTTCTAATTATGAAAATGTCTCAGGGAAAGATATTTTTACCAAGGCATGCTAAGACCTAGAAAACTGCAACTACACTCCCCAGTCCCTTATTTAGTATTAAAAATAGTTAAGAGAAACTGAGCCTGACAGAGCTGTACCTTAAAGCTTACAAAATGGGACACATAGGCTTCAGAATCTCTATTATAAAAGGAGTATTACATACGTATGCAGTTTGTTCCATTGTCTCTGTACCCTTCTTTACATATGCATTTGTAGGATCCTGGAGTGTTGTAGCAATGTGAAAAACTACCACACTGGTGGTGGCCAAGGGAACATTCATCTATATCTGCAACAGAAAATTTACATTAAAAAGTAATTTGCTTTATAGAAACCTGACTTTCTGCTTATCCCTGCAAAAAAACCCAAACATTAATACAATTTTGATTATTAAAAAAACCCCAAATTTCGCCAGGGGGAAAAGGAAAATAGACAGTCACAAATCAATGTGGTAATGCAAACATTAAGGAAAATAGGGACTACTGGGCAACTTTGGTATTTCTCAGCTTTTACCTTAGTCTTAGCTTCAGACATGCCATAGGTACTTTGCAGCTGAGATCATTAAGATCACAATTTTAAAAACCACTTCTTACAGGTGACAGAATAAGAATAAAACAAATTGAGTGTAGTAATATGCATGTTCTTAATCACGCAGATACTAAATTGGTTTTTCTTCATAAAATTCTTCCTATATAGTACATCTGTATAGATGTTTCTACATCAAGTAGAAACAGTTCCAGCAGTTTCATATGGAAACATTTCACATGCCATATCCACATTTATTGTCAGTGATGCAAGCAAAAATCTCCAAATTCCAGTGCTCTGAATACAAATTTCTCTGAAAAAAAAAGTAGGCAAACATAAAGCAATGCTTCATTATCTCCACATGATCTTTTTTTTTAGTGAAAGAATCATAACCAGTTGAGACCCTGTCAAACTAATGCATAGTGACCTGGGAATATCTTTGTGGAAGGGCATACACCAGCTGCATTCCAGTTTCATGTCCAGACAAAAACAGGTTATTTCCCAACTCCTGCCTCTTCCCCACCTGACAGCAGGGGAAGTAAAGTTGGGCAGTCTGGGCTGGGAGGAGGTAGGGTGTGCACATATTCTTATCTTGGATCTTGGGACATGCTATGGAGCACACTAGTGTTACAGCTCAGACACAGACTAAGCTCATATTCTGCTCCAAGCCTACAACTGCCAGTGACCGTGAACCCTGAGGAAAAAAAAAGGCTTTGGAAAGGAATTCCTGCGGTCATCAGCTCTGCTCTCCCCACTAGCTTCCACATAAGAACCAGTTACAAGAATGTAGGCCAAATACATGCCTTCTCTTTCACAGCCTATTTCTATAATCGACCCTTTCTTAAAATACTGATGCAGTGTAAAACAACCTGCTTCAACATTTCAGTCGTAATAAATAAATATTACTCTTTGAGCCATTAATTTAATTTTCAAATACACAGCTCTATTACATGCATGTGAGAAATAGTTTGTTATTACCATGGCATTGGTATTTGCCTCCAATGTACATCAGATCAAAGCCTTTATGACACCTGCAAATGTAGCTCCCGAAGGTATTGACGCAGTGCCTAAATCGTGGGCAGAGAACCCTCCCAGTAGCACATTCATCAATATCTGTGGAAACAAAGGAACTGTATTATTCTTAATAACAGTTAAAATACAATGTGTGCATTGTATTTTCAATGGTTTCACATAATGGAAAGCTAAAGAACAGCCAAAGTATTTTTCATAAGGGTCCTTGGTCAGCCAGCAGTAATTCCTGAGCACTTCTGGCTGTGCCCTCCAGCTCAGCTCTGGGTCACAGGCAGATGCCCAGGGAGCAGCTGATGCTCACCCACTGCTGCTCTCCCTGCCTGGGAAGCTCTCAGATGAGGTCAGGCTGACACACAAAAGCTGCTTGCGCTGCCACTCATTCTGCAGCCCCTGGACATCGAGCTGAGGCTGCTGAGAGCTCAAACACTAATTCTCCACTGAGGTAGAGACCTGCCATGCACGGCTGCTTCTGACGCACACAGCTCCTCCTGTTTGCTGGTTATCTACAGGGCACAGTTCAAGCCTTTGCTCTGCAGCTCCATCAGGCTCTTGATTTATGGGAAAGCAAGATTTTGCTCTCCACGCCGTTCTTTTCCCAAAAGGAGCCCTTCAGCTGTCGATGTCAAGAGTGCAAAACAAAGCCAAGTGAATGATGCCCTGCTGCTCTTGTGAAAGAGGCCTGAACAAGGCAGAGCCTCTTCCACCACACAGAAAAACTGTTACCACAAAGCTGCTGGTTAGTTAGGGCAGCTACCAGAGGTGGGGAAGATGGAACTTCAGCTTCTCTCCAAGCTGCGCTCACATGGCCAAAAGAAGTGACTTAAAGCCATGAATTGCTGGCCAGATGGGCTGTCCCAGTAGCTCCTGCTGGCACTATCCCACTCTGCATGAAGAATTACTGAGGACAGCAGGGATTCAGCCCCTGAGCTCCCACACTCCTGGCCCTCCTGACTGCTCTCTCTCCATCAGGAGCATTGCTGGAATGGTGCAGTAAAGGCCTCAGTGAGAAAGAAAACAAGGCCAATACTGGGCACGTCTCCACATGCCTGAATCTTCCTATAAATCTGTCTCTTGATTTGAATTTATTGTTAACATTTTAGGCTTTGAATATGCTACTAAGTTTTACAAACTCTACCATGCTTTTTATTATAATTTAATCAACAAGTCACAATTTTCAACAATTTTCAACAACAATTTTCTCCCCTTTATTAAAATATTATTTCAAGGCTGCAAGTTTTAGACGCTTGATTACTAAGAGTTCTGCTCTTTGTTGGTTTTGGTTGGGTTTTTTAATCTTTAAATCACAGCTTCAAAAAATAGTTCAGTAAAAACAAGATTAGCCACTGAATATACTTTATCATGGCATGAATTATGATCTTTAAAAACCTAATGTAGCATGTCCTGTTTTTTCCTCTGCACATATTCATATTTATTCACATAAGGCAAAAATTATGTTAAATCATGGCAACTGTGTATGCAGGTATGTGTCCTAGAGATATCGGACAGAATTGTTAATCAGTACACTGTTTAAAACTGATGCAAAAATATGGAAAAATATAACAGCCTTCCACCTGCATATAATGAGAGGTGCATGGATGATCATTGCTGAGGGGAAATACACTTTTTGATCAGTAACCAAAAAATGATATGCCAGTGCTTGTGATCAGTTTCCTGCAGCTCTCAAACAGTACAGCAACTGTGGCTTCTTCCAAGTCAATCCACGCCTGAACCAAAAGGTGTAGAGCTGTTTCCCTTTGCCTGCTGCAACATGCTGTGGTTCATACCTGCTTCCTATCAAAAGCAGGGCATGGAGGGGGCATTTGGAGCTCACCTCAGCATCAGGGAGCTGCTCCAAAGGCACATGAGGCAGTGTGATGGTCAGTGTCCACCAGAGAAGAAGAATTGGTTCTCTCTCTTGTTGCAAGTATGATCAGATTACCAACTCAAGCACAAAATAACTTGAGACTATTTTAAAAATAGTATGGTTTTTAAGTTTACAAGGCTGCATCTTCAATTTTTTAAACACGCATACAAAAAGGAAATAATTTTATAATGAAAAATCATTATTTCAGCCCTCAAATAATTTCAGGACATTTGAAGATGAAATGTGTATATGGCTCATTTCATTAAATTAAAATCCCAATCCAAAAACCTGGCAAGGGCAATTGATTTATTGATTCAAGAGTCATTAATCAATTAATTAGCTGTTTAATCCACATTTTCACTGAATATTTTGCTGAATTATTTTTTACTTTGTTGTCATTTAGTTTATACAATTTACCTTTATAGCCAAATTGGTGGCTCTTTACTGATTGTTTGAAAGGAACATTTTAAACAAAGGAATGATCAGCAAGTGTTAAACTAAGAATAGAATAATGCCCAGAGGAATTTCCACCTGTGCTAAAAATAGGCATTGCATTCCCAGCTGTCTTTCAAACTTTCCTCGAACAAGGATTTCATGAGCTGTAGGCAATGTACACTTCCATTTTCTTACCACCACCTACACTTCTATTTGCACTGCAGCATTATCCAGACCCTTGTTGGAGCCAACAATTTCCCCAACAGTGACAAGCTTGTACAAACATGAGCAAAAAGCATAGCCTTAGTCCCAGGCAGTTTCAAGTCTTTCAGGTATTTACTGCTACTTGAACTTAATAGAGAAGTAACACAGAAAGGGTGCATGTCATAATCACTTCTTACCAAAAAAGGGGAGAACATTATGTTACGATTCAGGAAGAACAGACATCTCTTGCTGTAACTATTTTCTCTGAAATTCTTGTGCAAATTTTAGAAATAGGTTATGAAGTCATTCTAAATTATGCATACCCAGGTAAAATGTGGGTACACAGTTCTTTGCCTTTCTGGGGGAAAAAAAAAACAACTTTTTTTTTTTTTGGAAACTGCATTGAAGAACTCAAAGAGCTTCAAAGTAGGAAATTTTCCTGAATAGAAAAATGCACACTAGGAGAATATGGCAAACATTTTTTCTAGCAAATTTCTCTACATGGTGTACCTTTCGTGAATTTGTACTTATAATCATTCAGCTCACTATGGCATGTATGTCACAAGTATCTTCCAAAGATCTCTCAGCCATAATATCCACAATGGGATTTATCACAACTTAATCCCTTCAGTATGCAACAAGGGTAAGTTTTTTCCTCCTGTTCTTTCCAATTTTTTCCATACACAGATGTGCCAATCATGCACTTCAGAAAGCCTCTGACTTGGTGTGGAGCTTGCTCTTCTCACCAGAAGATCTAGAGTATGTCCCTTTCTCTGCCAAGAAATTTTTGGTCAGCATGGGTCAGGCACTTGGAGAACCACCTACCCTGTGGAGAGCCAAGATACCCAAAGGGATGATTAGGACATCCCCATGTTCTTACATTCCTTCACTGTTACTGGTTGTGGAATTGTAGCACTTCATAGAATATAATAATGAAATCACTAGAGCATCACATCCCACTCAGGATGTATAGTTAATGACTGATGAAATCACATGTCACACTGTTATTCAGACCATAGTAGAGTCTGATTAACCATAAGCACATTTTCCATGTTCAAAAACGTGGGAACAAAACATTTCACTTTTATATGCTCTAAGTTCCTGTGTTTATTTTAACCTGGAGTTTTGACAGTATGGAAGAAAGCACATTCAATCCCACTAATACTGGGAACATGCACAGACCTTCACCTTGTCCCACTATCACATCAATGATTTTTACGAATTATTCCTCTACCCACTGAGCTAGGCACCACCTTGTTGGGTATGAGGGAAAGGTGATCTCCCCATTCCTTTTTTTATGCAGGCAGGTATTTTGAAGTTAGCAATAGTTTAAAATGACCTAGTAGCAGGAGTGGCAAGGGCCAAGGACCTGGATACCAAGGAGTTTGTATGGGCTTTAGGCAGACAATGAAACTTATAGGACTGAAAATACTGGTGATCTCTGACATGAGGGCACCTGAGCAACAGACCTATTACTATTCTCATTATTAACAACTTTAAATAACCTCTTCTGTGCATTCTATGTACCTCTGATAAACTCTCTTGAACTGCATTCTGTGGAAGGATAAAAGCATTCTGGAGGAAAAAAATTAAAAATTTAAATCTACGTTTGATCACCTACCCACACAAGTCCTGCCATCAGGCCCAAGCTGCAGCCCTGGAGAAGGACAGCGGCAGCGCACCTCCCCTTTCAGCACGTCACAGCCATACTGACAGTTTGCCATCAGGCAAGAAAGGGCATCTGGAGAAAAATAATTGAACACATTTAGATAAAGACCACGTATTTATGACAAAAGTGGGGAAACGCTTGTATCCTTCAAAGAGGAAAAAAAATCTGCTAGTAAATTTTTCTTTCCACAAACTACTTCTCTAAGAAAATAATACTAAAAAAAAAGTAACACAATTGTAGTAAGTTGTATTATTGAATGCAGTCCCCAGAATATAAAGCCTAATATGTACTACAGACTCTCCTGGACAGTTACTGCCATTTTAAAAATGGGGTATCTCTAACTGAAGGTGTTTTCTCTCCCCTTCCCTCTGTCCAGATATTCAAAGTAACTGTTTTTATGGGAGCAAGTAAGAACCTGATCCCTGGAGAGATGACAGTACAATTTTTATACCAGTCAAACAACCAGCACCTGCAGCATTAAAGATTTTACATTCATAAGGCCATAAGGCAGCAGAAATGCAGGTGTCTTGCTGCAATGAAAACTGCAAGCACTTGTCCTCAAAGGCCAATTAACAGTGATTTACAGCACTGAAGAATGCTTTGGGGGAAACTTTCAATAAAACTAATAAAATTAAAACAATTGCTCATGGCTTTTCAGCCTAATTTAACTAGGAAAAAAGTAGCTCATCTTGTGCAGCTACCTAATTTCCAACAAGATTAATCTTTTACTTGAGGACTCAGTTTCATTTCATAGAAGTTTTCCAGGGAAACTCGAGCAGGGATTTTGAGGAGCTGGGAAAGAGCAAGCCCCAAGGCTGGCCGTACTTGAGCACGTTCCGTCTGGCATTAGCATGTAGCCGTTCAGGCAGTAGCACTTGTAGCTGCCGTAGGTGTTCATACACCGGTGCTTGCACGGCCGCGGCTTTAGTCCACACTCATTCAGATCTGAAATGAAGGGCACAAGGGAAGAGGGTGGGAGAAGAAAACAAACAAGGCATGCATGGCAAAACTGCCAGTTCAAGCTGCTGGAGAAGGAAGGAAAAATACAGCAATTAGCTTTTTATATGCAGCTCAGCTGATAGCAAGCGTCCAAAACATCCTGCATGAAGCGCTGTTCATCCCTCCAGCCAAGCAGCTTATTTGGCTTGGTTTCATAGGTGTCTTTTAATGACAATATTAGCATTAGATGAAGTGCCAGCTGCTTCATTAGGCAACACACAAGCACAGGCTACCCACGTCTTGCCACTATTTATGTTGATGCCAAGTCCAGGACCAGGAAGCACTTGGAAGAAGAAGGAGGAGAGAGAAAGCAAACATCACTCTGTAATCACTATCATGATTCTGATAGCAATTCAGTGATTCACTATCATGCTTCAAAATGAGTGGCAGAGGAAGGTAGGAAAGCTGATGGCAACTTACTTCAAATACTCTCACGAAGAAAATTTAATCCTTATCATTTAGAAAATACTAAATGAAAGCATCTGACATCAGTTATATTTGTCAAGGACCATCCATGAGGGCTAGAATTTCAGACTTACAATTTAATAGAGAATTCATGGCTTGAACTGAAAATATTCAGCCTACAGTTTCCATATTAGTAGACAGAACTTCAAACAACAAGATGATTTCCTTCAGAATTCTCTTCCAAGAATATGTGTTGATTTTGTTTGAGTAAGCCAGAATAATTTGTCACTTATTATTGTTGGTAGTTATTTGCATAGTAATGAACAAAGATGAGAACAAAGATGAAAATAATAAATCAGTTCACAAATCCAGCCAGAGAGGACCTAAGAAAATGAGTTATCAACCATCATCTCTAATATTGCACCATTCTGTCTGGTGGTCTTTTGCAGACAGACAACTGCCATTTTTTCCAGAAGTTTTCAAAGAGCCATCACCAGTACTAAGCACTATAATATCAAGTGTCCCTCAATCCACGTAGCAGAAAGGTAAGCCTTGAGGCTCCCATCATGTCATAGATACACACACAGTAGCCACTTGATAAAATGCCAGCTGAGGAGGTGACAGATGCCTCCTGTGGAATAGAGGCAAAGGCTCAAGGTTAAGATGCTGAACCAATAAGATAAACCACCTCTGGTTACAATGAAGACAATAATTAATTGATTGCTTTTCAGAAGTAAAACAGAAAACTTTACTGGGTCTATGCAGTAAATGGAATGAGGAAAGTTACATTCACTGTCGAGGTGAAGTTAGAGAAAACATTGATTCTAGACAACTACACCTGGAATTTTACAAGTTCTTAATGTTTGGATTTTAAATTTGTCCTGAAACACTGTAATCCATTGGTTTGTGAGAGTAACATTCTTCACCTTACTCTTTTCAGGCAAAGTATTTTTAAAAGTCATTCTAACACTGAGAACAGTATTCCCTTTCATTTGACTGGTAAAATGCGGAGCCATCAAGAGAAAAATACATGTATCACACTGCAAGTCACTGATGTAATCCAAACTCAGCTGCGAGGATGTTGCCTGTTTTGTCACTGCTGTTCCTGAGAGCTCCTAACAGTGTTTACATGAAACATTAAACTTTCTGTCTTCTGACCTACTTTCTTTCCATCTTCATGGGGTCAAGGAATAGTGAAAATCATGCAAACATGACCCTCCCCAGAGCCCCTCCCCTTAGTTAATTTTCCAAGGTCTCAGGAAGAACAGCATGTTTAAGGACAAGAATACTTCCTACTCCCCTCTTCTGCAAGAGGAGAGCGGGTAAGATTTCCACCCATTAAGGCTGGACAAGATGTTTCCAGGAAACCTGAAGGGGAATACTTTCTCCTCAATTGGGGAGGAAGATTAGGTGAGACTAAGAAGGACTTCAGTGAGGAAAGATTGCCAAAATAAGGGCTGGACCTGTGCACGATAAATAAGGAGTGATGACCACCTCTGCAGTCTTCCTGAGGACCATGTGCTGCAGAGACAGCACCCCTTCTACAGCTCTCACTCTTTGGGAGCTGGGAAAAGTTTCAGGAGGGTATACTTCTCACAGCAGGCACCAATGCCACACTCACAGGAAAATACCTGCTGGGCTTGAGAGAAACAGCTGTAGAAGAAAGAACATTTTGTCCTTTGAAAGCAGGGTCTTCTGCTAGGAGTTGTGACTACAGGTATACTCCTAGGCCAAATGGAAATGCAGTAGATGATTATGCTAGAGGGCAAGGACAAGTTTTCACTATGGAAACCTTTGTGTGAAAAAAGCTTTACATAAAAATCTCCAATAATAAGCAAATGAAAGCTCATGTTTTGAAAGGCAAATTTCTCTTGGCAGCACAAAAAAAAAATTTCTTTTTTCTGTAAAGCATACCACGAGTTGGCAGTTCCTGACAAACATTATAGTTGCAATAAATATGTTATAACACGTGCAATGTGTCTGTTTAAAAAGTCATTGTTACATTAAAAAACTCTGTTAGCATTTGACCGCAATTCAAAAATATATCCCCAAGGAACCCATAGTATTAAATATACTGAATTTCACTGACAACCATCATTTTGAAGTAAGAGGAAAAAAGTTCTCTTAGTCTAAAATATCTGTATTCTTCCTATTTTCTACAAAAATAATCACTTTACAAAATAAAGGCGTAACAGAGCTAAGTATAAAATACTTAAATAGAAGTAGGGACAGAGTAAGGAAAAGTAACACTGAAATTAAATTGACAGGGCAGGATTTTATCAGTACCTTCTGTTAAGTTCTAGTGTTTAAATTCCACTGCATTTCAGCTTCTAAGTTTAGATACTCCTAACAACTAAAGAACTGTCATGCACTTACTTCCAGAGTTATGACCACAGACTCAAAGTTGAAAATAACTTACAACTGTTCTATAGTATAGCAAATATACTATATTTATACTGCATAGAGTATAGATTACAATATGAGCATTAAAATACTAGATCCTTTTAGAGGACTCTGAATTCTACACCACCACTTGATACAAAGTATTCTTAGTAAAGAAATAAAAGTTCTGGTACTGACAAATAGACACCTAATAGTAACATACTGTGAGAATAGTATAAAGCGCAACAATATTGAAAAGTTTAACAAATCCCTTTAATTTCTTTTTGGGAATGCTCACTCATTGTCCTGCATTTGAGAATTTCATTTTTCAATCTTTAACTTCCCACGTTGCCTACAATTTCACAGCCAATGCAAAACTAACATTCTTGATTTAAAAGTAACACAAGGCAATAGAGCACATAAAAGCAGACTGACTGTTTTGGCCACTATGGTAAGCAGGTTTATCACAAACAAGCTGCTGAGCACAAGTATTTTATATCTAAAGGAATTAAATTAAATGTGAGTGCAAGGGAAGGACAGATCATTATGCTGGCAAACTTGGATGTGACTCCTTTGACTGCTGCACTGTACCACACATGGTCTTGGACCAACTTCAGTGCACACCCAACAATGAGCCACTTATTTCTAGGCAGATTCAATACCCTCTGCTATTTCCTTTTAATTAGCTTCTGCAGACTTCAGCACTCAAGACTTTTTCTGACTTTTTTGCCTATCATGTAACTTGGATCAGGCAACATTGAAGTTAAATATTCAATACCACATTTACCCAACTCTGAAAATAGAAAGTCAAAGACCAGAAATCAAGTAGAAAAATTAGACTGTTATCACCATACATAAATAGTAGATCAGCTTTCATTTCCAGCAGTTGCAATCACACTACCCTGTCAACCTGATAAGAGATTTCTATCACCTGAAGAGTTTCTGTTCACTTAGTCTGATTAATCAACAGCTGCCAAATTCAGAAGTTTTTTAACCCTCCTTTTCTACAACTTCCAACTTCATCTAAATCACAGTTTTGTCTTTATCTAACTTGATAAACAATTTCCATCACTATCACTTTACACAGGAACTCAGAAAATATAAAAAGGCTCTGAAAGAAGAGCAGAGGAAAAAAAAACAAATGCAAGTGACAAGTATGAGTATGGCAGAGTCAAAACTTTTTAGAATACACATAGAAGCACCAAGAAAATAAAACCAATTATTTGCTCTGTATGCTAAGGGCACTGCAGGTTCAGCTTTCACATCCCAGCCATTGATGGGTCTATCAGTCTCCGCCTCCTTTGCAAGAAATTGCACTCCTGTTTGAAGCCGTGCAGAAAGGAGGAGCACAAAACCTGAAACACAGCATCACCTCATCCCTTGTTGCTACATTTCCTGTAGGATGATCCAGGGAGTAGAACACAAGAGCTTCACTGCTCTGACCAAGTAGACTTGTCTACAGCGGCACATCTTCACGGGATAGGGAGAAGGCATAATAAAAATATAGCAATATACATTACTTCACTTAATAAATATACATATATATCAAGTGCTGACAAGAATTTCAAGCAGTGAACATTGCATCATTTTCCTAGAACAAACAAGGTAAGAAAATAGAAAGTTACCGAAAAGCAGCCTTAGATGTTTTTGGATAAAGACAACCTTTCCCAGCCAAAGAAAGTTAACCTGTATATGTTTTAGATTACTAGCAAAAATTACAACTGTCTGTATTTGTCTTGCTAAATATTATTTGCATTTTCTTCAAGAGCAGCTATCAATTTTCAGATTAACATATTTGGAACGCATGACTTCTGCTATTATCACTATAAATTAAGAGAGGTGGCAGAGGGCATTTTCCCTCACATGCCTCTGTCTCCTCACTGCTTACAGCTGTAATGCTAGGATCAAAAAGCCAGAAGGGAAACACTAAAGCCATTCATGAGATATAAATGCTGTAGGGAGAACACATGGTTAGCTCTTGTGCAGTCACTGCAATTTGATTTAAAAAGTATCAGGTAGTCTTAACTTCTGAGTGATCTAAAGCGAAGTATGGATTGCCACAGCAGCTGCAGCACCACTGGAAAAGGACAAGCATCCAGCATCATCACACAGTCAGGGCTGAACAGCTCTGCTGTGAGGCTGGGCTGATCTCTTGGATCAGTCCCAGGAACACAGCCTGATCCATGGGGCACATGAACAGATGAGATGTAAAGCCTGTTTATCAGCGCTTGTACTCAAAGAAAGCCTTTCACCAAGAACATGAGCATACTTTACAGCCCAGATTCACACATCCTAGAAACACTTCCATCCCTGCAGGGAACTCCTCTGCCAACATTGTTTCTTCTGTTACTATTCTAAAACAGGACTGAGAAAATGGGCTACCGGCTGAGCCGGGCAGGTGCTGTATTAAGGTATAATAACATAGGTCACACTTATCCTGTACCATTTGAATCTCCTCCCAGCAAAAGCAGACTCTGCATTCACTGCACTCTTTCCAGTCTCATCCAAACACTGAATCAGCACATGGCAAGAACACAGATCATGACCCCAGGAATAGCTCAAGGGTCTTACCTGAACTGGTGCACATTTGGGGCACCACAGTCAGCTGGCATCTCACTAACCTCACCTACATCTGCCAGGCAGCTTTGTCACCAACACCATGCAGGAATATTTCATCAATACTGCCCAAAGTGCTTCCTGTGATAACCTATCACATTTTTCCTTCCTTAGAATTTAGTGGTAAGTAAATAGTTTAGTTCAAGATTGAAGCCTCCACTAATTTGGAAAGCATTCTTTCGATATTGTTAAACTATTTACTACATATAAAAACTGTTAGTTCACTGCACTGTTTTCTAAAAAGGTTTTGGACTGATGAAAACATGTAGAATAAAATCATATTTTAAAATTTCAGCCCAGATTAAGGGACAAAAAAGAGAGGATAATATAAGAGATGATGGAAACTTTTGAGAAAACTGAACAACACAGCACACATTTGAGAAGGATCAGTAAATCTGAAAATAAATATGTACCTATTTTTTAAGAAAATAACTCAGTCTAAAAATCAACATGTCCTAATAAATTTAGCAACATCAGAACACATCCTTGAAGAAAATCATTCTAAATATCAGACTTTTCTACCATAATTTCCTCAGCACTCAGAAAATGCACACATTTTCCTGTAGGCTGAGACAACTGCAAAAGAGATATAATTGAGATATATTTGTGTGTGAACATATCTTAGCCATCAAACACATATTACAATTCTCTAATCATTTATACTCTATGATCTTTATACCATTACATGCTTTGGACATAATTTTTTAGAAAAAAACCCCAAACAATGAAACTTGATAATCCAGTAAGAGAAACTTCATCTTTACACTAATCATTTAGCAGTATAACGCAACCTGGTTAGTTCAGGATTAGAAACACTAAACTGAAAATGTATGAATTATGAGGTTTTTAATGAAACAAATATTATTTCACTATTCAAATATGAAAATTGTGATTTTATAAAAAACAATCCTGACCATAAGGTTTAAATAATTTACTTCTGATTAAGGAGAGCAGGTAACTACATCCTATATATTAATCTCATTGATTTCCTCTGAATTAAAGCAATTTTTCCCCTGTGTCATCCCACTGCAGATGTCAATCTCTCTCCAAAGTCAGTCCAAATATCAGATTTGTGCAGCAGTAACAGACCTGGTATATGAGTTCATTGCTCTATAAACACAGGGGACACACACAGCATTGGTGGTGGTAGGTACAGAGATCAACAATTCTTCCAAGATTTCAAAAAGAAATTCTTTCTTACCTTGGTTGCAAGTTTTTCCAGTGTATCCTGGGTGGCACTTACACTTGTTTGGCCCAATGCATTCACCATGTTTGCACCCTGGCTGGCATATAGCTGAAAACAGAGGAACACTCATTATCTTTCCACTCCAGTCACAGCTGACAGTGCTTTACTTTGAAATAAACAGCAACTACCTAACAAATAGAAGTACTGTCTATGCCATATTCAGAAAATAAATACAGAACTCCAAGAAATAATAAAAAGCCAATTTTTGGCACCTCTCTCAATATGACACCAAACAAAATTCATAAAACAAATTTTCGAAGTTTCAGTAACAAACAACAAAAGCATTGCTTTTGAAGAAATATAAGAATTCATGCACAAATATATTTTTGCTGATGTAGGATTAGCCAACAGGAATATTTCCCTGAGTAACTGAAAAACATTTGACAGATGAAAATTTTAAACATAATTTCTAAGTCTTTTGCATTAGAAATATTTTTCTATTATTAAACCTACTTTTTAAATCTACTGGAAAAATGTAGTATTTACTATGGTCTAAGATGTTTTTTATCATTATATGACAAAATGCAGATACACAATCCTGCTGAGCTCTCTGCTAAAGCAAGATAGACACAAAATAGGCAGAAATCAGATAGTAGCATAACTTGGATACCCTATACCCAGGATTTATCTATTTACCCCACCTTAAAGTTCATCTTATAAAGGAAGAGTATAATTTGGACTTTGCAAGTAACTAACGAGCTGCACTATTAATCTGACAATAACGGGCTGTACCATAAAACTGGATGTATCGAGGACATAAATTAACAGAAATCTCCCAGAATGCACTCAAAAAATGTAATTTGCCTTCTAGCCAAGCTATTCAACAGGGTTAAATTAAACAAAAATTTAAAAGAAACAAGATATTTGTTTTGTTCCAATAGTACTTGGAAGAAATATCCAAGTACTTCTTTAATGTTCTGAAAATCTTTTCCGTAAGATTCAAAGCATCCAGAACTGGCAATTCCCACAAATATATCCAGAGAAGTAGCTGTTAGTATAGAAGGAGTTTGCTCCAGTTTTAGGACTGTGTTTATTTAGGACTGTTTCAGGACTCCCAGTATTATCAGGGATGTTTTTTCTTTAAGTGTAGTATTTACCTATAATCAGTATTATATCCCGAGACAACAAAACTTTGTTTTAAATCTATAGCTCTGCTCCTGATGGATCTTCCTAGTATGATGGTGAAGTCTCTTTCCAAAAAATTGTTAAGGAGTATCTTAAAAGGCAATACAAAAGCAAGATTTTTTTTGTCTCCCTTGACAAACACTGTCTGGAAACAAAGACATGAAATTCATATTTAGAAACACTTCTCAATGAAAGTGTAAGGGAAAGGAGCTTCTCAGACTACTAAAAGGGTATGTTTCAGGAAGTATGACCTTGGGTAATGGACAAGTCTGACTGAAGAGCAACTGATCCACCATGAGACACTTCTAGAATATCATACTTGGAAACATTTACTGCTCTTTTAATCACTATGGCCATAAATGGGAAAAAAGGATCTCCTTTGTTAAGAGTCTGTTTAGATGCCAAGATTCTTTCCTTCCTGGCATCACAGACTCGGGTCTAATCAGAGGTGATGTTGGCAAACTGAGAACTATGAAGGCCAACTTCAAAGAAACAAAGATGACTTCAAAGAAACCAGGAAAAAAAACAAGTTGTGATCTAAACTACAGAAGAGAAAAAGAAATTACTAGAAACACATTTTTGAAAATTTGTTTAAATTTTCAACTGCACTTTAGAGAAGATCCATATTGTGAAGCGGGATACACGTAATTAAATCAGTTCTTTTTAAGAAGTACCATGGGATCACTTTGGTGTAAAGTATAACAGTTCAGTAACTGTTAGAAGAACCTGTGGCAACTTTAAGATGATTTTTTTAAAGCCCTGGTCCCTCCCTCAATTGGCCAGATTGTACATTAGCAGCAGCTCAAACAGAAAAAAAAAAGTCTCATACTTGAAGGCAAAAATCTCTACTATTCCAAGAAAAGCTTCCAAATGACTAGCAAACCACTGTCCATAAAGACAGTCATCATAAAACACTGGAGGTTTTGCACATTAAATGGGTATTTGGAAATCTTTGTTTGCTGCCAAACACGATTCTTGAGGAAAACCTGTTTATTAGAGTACATTCTATGGACTTAGGCTACTTCAGCATTATGGATCTTACTTAGACGCAGCTGAAATTCAATACAATATTAAAACCGAAGTGTTTCTACATACAGGAGAAAAATGCTTTTCAGTAGGTTTAACAATATCTGTAGCTCAGCCAACACCACAGATAAATCTGAAGGATTTCCTAGAAGGAATCAAGCCACTCACAGGATAAAACTTGTGCATCTTCCTATTAATTCTATTTGGGCTTTGCAGGGTGCTCAGGAATAAAGAATCAGATGGTTCAGCCAAGTCTGCACACCTGGCTGGGGTCCCTACTGGCCCCTACCAGAATGACCAGGCCCAGAAGAGTGGGTCAGCTCCAGCTCTGCCATCTCCAGCACGAAAATCCTTATTCAAAGGAGCAGCTGCCCTGCACTAAATCCAAGGCAGTAAATCCACTCGCTGACTCCCAATGAGCTCTATTTGAACACTGGCAGATGCAGGTACAAAAATAAGCTTAAGCCAGACTTCCAGCATTTCTTTTAATAGCAGACAAGTATTTCAGCTGTTTGACATGAGTCAGAGCATACACTACATGTGCTGATGTGACTGGGTGTTTTAATTCTCCACTCTATGTGTTTTCTTGCAAAGCTCCAAATACAACAGAAGAGAATAATTCAGTCACTCCATTCACACATAGACAAATGGAGTTTCTGCATTTTTTTGAAAACAAATAGACTCACAAATAATGGAGGAAAAAAAGTCTCCCAGTTACTACTTTTTGCCTCTTGAAAATTCAAAAATTCCTTCACAATCAATAAA